CCGCCCCCCGCCGCCTCCGCCGCCGCCCCGTCCCCCGGGCTAGGGCCGGGGCCGGGACTGTCTGCTCGCAGCTCCCGGCCCGGTGCCGACAGCGGCTGGGGACGGCGCTGAGAGAGGGATGTTGGCAGCCCGGCGGGGTGGCGCGGGATGAAGTGGGCCGGGGGAGGGACAAGGAGTACAAAAGGAGTTTCCGTGCAAGGGAAGCATGTGGGCAATTTACACGCAATCAGATAATTGAAGAAGGAATTTCCAAGGGGTTCCTTAGCGCCTGGTTGTCAAGGGTTATTAAGTTGTTTGTCAAGACTCATCCCTCTAGTAATGGCTTTGTGAGGAGAATGCATCTGGAAGTTCTTTAGGGTCCACCACGGCAACAGTTACTCATGAAAAATACTCTCCTGCCCCACCTAGGAAATCTTCAGTCACTATCCTACACCTCAACAAGTACCTCACGCCTGGAAAGCACTTTCCTCCTCATCTTCTGGTATGTGGTTAGTCCCATCAACTGCCCAAGCAACCACTCATCCTAACTGAAAGCCAACTTTATTATTAAAAATAAAAAGATGAAATTGCCAAGAAAAACATGTTAAACCAAAACCAATAGGATAATCAGTGTAAGAAATGTTGCTAGCTTAATGATTAAATGTACTGATCAACATAAGATAAAGATCTGGTGCAACAGGAAACAGCCATCACCAGCGAGCGTTTGCTATTCTGCGTGTCTGCTCAGTGTCCCAAAAGACAATTCCTAAAAAAGCAGCATGTCCACTTCAGGGCTAACAGACATGGCTGCTGGGCCTAGCAGCTCAGGAGTCGAGTAGTGTGCTGGCTTTACAGCACCACAGCAAAGCACAACAGTGACATAAACCAGCTTGATCAAGTCCGTAATCAATGTATTTGAATGTCAAATCCAACCCATCAAAATGATTGTAAGCAATACATTTTGTGAGCTATCCAATTCCACTCCTACATGCCTATTTTACATACTTATTGTTACAAATTTAATGGAATGTTTTGCCACTAGTTACAATGGTATCAGGATTTGGGCCTGTAATATTAATCTAAGGGCCCAGGCCAGTAATCACTTCACTCTCAAAAACTCCACTGAAGTCAACAAAAGACTCCCATTATGCACTACTGACAGAACCCAGAGGTAAAAATGACTCTTCCAAAAAATAAAATGAGCAGACCATGAATAAATCAACAGGAGTTCCCTACAGCTGACAGTTTATGGGCTACTGCCCAATGTTCTGATTTAAGAAAGAGAAACTCTTGTGTAAGGTAATGAAATAAGGCCCTTCAAGATGTATACAGGGGCTAGGGATAGTAAAAGAAAACCATCTTTTGACTCATAAAACATGCCACCACAACAGAAATAAGGAAATCAGATAGCACCCTCTTTCTGTCTGAACTATCCACTTTTCCTGGATTTTATTTCCTTCTGTTTAATAAAATATCAATTCTATAAAGAATTGATACTATTATTTTTGGAACAATCCTTGAAGTAATTTGCCAGAAGAAAAAGAAACAGTGCAGCACATGCATGTTGTCAAATTCTTATAATGCAGATAGGGAACTTTCAAATATATATTCCTATGGCTTGCAAATGAATATAGGCCATTAGATGCACCTGTGATATCAGAGGCTTTAAAATATAAATATAAGTATAAATATAAATATATAAGTAAATAAATAACTACATATATATGGGGGGATCAAGAACGTCACGATTTTAGTATTATGAAAATTTGGGAATGCTATTAAAAATACATTATACATAATTTAGAATGGGATATACAAAATATACATGGATTTTCATACATACAGAGATTAAAAAAAACATTGAGGGTAGTGGCTGATCATGTACTAAACCAAATCAATCGAATTTTCCTTTGCAACAGCTGCAAAATTTTGAAGACAACCTCCCCTTACACTGGCATTACACACACACACACACACACACACACACACACACAAAGTTAATATAAAAATCTTGCATAATAGCAAAACAACATTTATTTAATCATTTTAACCACTGAGAATAATGAATATGATTAGTCTAATGCATTTCAAATAGCAAAGAATGCTAGCAGTGCATACAGAATGTCAGCACAGTCAGATCTAGTCAGTCTGCACAGAACTGTCTTGCTTAAGGAATTTTTAGGTTATCACAGAATTACAGCCTCCTTTGAGGTACCTGTAGGGTGCAATAAGGTCACCCCTGAGCCTTCTTTTTTCCAGGCTGAACAAACCCAGCTCCCTCAGCCGCTCTTCACAAGCCTTGTTTTCCAGACTCCTCACCAACTTTGTTGCCCTTCTCTGTACTCGCTCTAGCACCTCCATGTCCTTCTTGTAGTGAGGGGCCCAAAACTGAACACAGTACTCGAGGTGCGGCCTCACCAGAGCCGAGTGCAGGGGGACGATCACTTCCCTAGACCTGCTGGCCACACTGCTTCTTATGCAAGCCAGGATGGTTTTGGCCTTCTTGGCCACCTGAGCACACTGCTGGCTCATATTCAGCCGACTATCAACCAATACTCCCAGGTCCTTCTCCGCCTGGCAACTTTCCAACCACTCATCTCCCAGCCTGTAGCTCTGCTTGGGGTTATTGAGCCCCAGGTGCAGGATCCGGCACTTGGCCTTATTGACCTTCATACAGCTGGCCTCAGCCCATCGGTCCGGCCTATCCAGATCCTCCCCTGCAGAACCTTCCTTCCCTCGAGCAGATCAACACACGCAACTAACTTGGTGTTATCTGCAAACTTACTGAGGGTAAGCACTCGATCCCGTCATCCAGATCATCAATAAAGATCTTAAGGAGAACTGGCCTCAATACTGATCCCTGGGGGACTCCGCTATTGACCAGCCTCCAACTGGATTTGCCTCCATCCACCACAAGTCTTCGGGCCCGGCTACAAAGCCAGTTTCTAACTCAACACAGTGTACGCCAGTCCAGGCCAAGAGCAGCCAGTTTATCTATAATACAGCTGGATATGAGCTAAAAGTAAAATTGTACAAATAGTCACTTGACATGGATGGGGTAACAAGGCAGTGAAGATGTGCAGAAGAGACCTGATGGTGCACTAAAATTCTGTGTATATAATCCAGGTGCTCTAAGGAGGTTATTACAGCCTCTATTGCTGCCTCTTCTTTGCTACAGTTGCCAAAGAAAGCTCAGTGGCCAACCTAAGTCAGAGCAGTGAAGAACATGGGAAAAAACACGATAGATAAGAGGTCAGAAAGATAAAAAGAATGTGTCAACAATATGTAGAAAAGTGCAGAAAAACATTACAGCAAGAAATTAAAATATTTGTTGATCATTGTGGTGAAATGATTCAATTAGATAACCATCACAAATTATTACTCAAAGAAAGAAACGGAAAAGAAAAGATAGACTATATGAGTTTCTGCTTTCCATATTCATAAAATCTTTTTCTAATGAAATTTTAAAACTGAATTAAAAATAAAAACTGCATAAAACAGTTTCAATGGGAAAAATCATTACTATGAGAAGTCAAGCTGACTGATGAAAATGAGTATGTTAGTATGGGTAACAGAAGTATCCACTCTAAGAGGCTTTAATGTTAAAAAATCAGAACCAAATGTTTATGAGCAGAAGCTTATCTGAAACTCAGAATTTATGCTGACTGCTGTGGGGCTTTTCCACATCCCCTTACCCAGTTTCTGCATTTTCCTCAGGAAGAATCTGCAGTTGGACACTGCTGGTAATAGGGTTCTGGAGATTCTTGTAGTATGTACTTGAGAAGTATGTACTTGTAGAAATAGTCTCTACTCTCTTGTAAAGACAGAAGATATTTTGGCTAAGAGATAAAGTGCTTTGGGATTGATTCAGAGCTTGCTATCTTCCTTAAAAGTAAACTGCTTCTGCTGAGGTTGGAAGTTATATATTCCCTAATAGTTTGGGTAGCAGAGGTTCTGCTTCTCATAAAACAAGGGGATATAAATTCATTGTTACGAGAAGTTACAGTGAAGTTACCGAGAAAGTTTTTCCATTCATCGATGAAAGCCCCTCTGTTGAACTTTTAATTACTCCACTCCAGTTTAAAAGTAAATAGGGAAACAATAAATACAAATACAAATGTTAAATGTGTAATTCCTATCCCAAATCTTAGAAATACAAAATTCTTGTGATGAATGAAAACATTGGATATGCTAATGATTTTTAAAATATGCTTTTCAATAATTTTATACGAAATTATCCATCCCATAGATATTTGTTTTCTGCTAAAATACTGTTGAAGTCAGACATTACTTGAAGTGCCTGCATACAAAATACATATGGCATCCATGTGTGTACAGCAGTGGAATCATTAATATCAATGCTTTACTAAGATCTGATAGTGATGGAACACTTGCACGTGCTGTTCCTAAACAATGATGCAATCAAGAATTTACCAGTTCTCTAGGGTGTTAGACTGATAAACATTTACGTAACAGGCACTTCTATTTTTCTTACTGTGATTAATGCAAAGATGATGATAAGGGAAACTAAAGGCAAAATTTGCAGCTATTTCTCTTTTAGTACGAAAATCCCTTGTGCCCTTATTTTGCTTAAAAATATGCTTTATTGAAATTTATGTACACATTAAATTAGCTTTAACACTTTAACATGACAAATAGGGGTTATTATGCAGCAATAGAGCATTACGGCATTCCGTTTCAACATAAAATGAACGTAATTATAGCAATTTTTGGCTTTGCCATTTTTCAGCAATGGAGGCCTGCCTCCTTTGCAGAGCAACTGGTATATTTATTCTCCTTGATTTTTTTCATGCTAACCTTCATTTCCAGAAGTAAATCTACCAAGCATTATAAAGTGTTATAAAGCATTATATATAGTAACAGCTATAGAGTATAGTATAGTTGTAAGGTAACTCATCCGTTGTATTTTTTTTTAATGATTATTACATTTTTCACACTAAAAGAAAAATAAATGCAACATGTATATCTAGATAAAATAGAAAAGTAAACAGTATTCTTACCAAAGGCCTAAGTTCTGGATGAGTCAAAATATATCCATTGTTTGTAATTGCAAAAGCGTATCCATGAATGCCTAACTGTAAGAGTAAATGAAAAATAAATGCCAATTAGCATGGTCTCCAGTAAATTCTTAAACAAAAAAGAAAAGCATTTAGTTATCTAGGGCTTACAACTGGCATTCTTAAAGCCCACACAGTATTTCATTATAATATATGCACAACTTTGATCCTTGACATTTTTGAAAATGAGAACCTGTCATTGTGACAAATGCTGCACAATTTTAGAATGTCACACACACTTTGCTATCTACTGCACTTATTTCTATGTACCTTGGAGTGAATTACTTAGATACATATATATGAGACACCATAGCACGTCACATATAACGTTTGCCAAAGCATAGGTATGCTGACATTTAGTAAATTCACACATTCCCAGGAGTGAGAAGGTTCAGGTTACTTCACTTCGTAGGTGGTGGTAGAGAGGAATCATTTAAATCAATGAAACTAGATGTATGGCTACACCGAGAAAGCAGTGGCCTGCCATATGTGATATTTTTTTGCTGACAGAAGTTGCGAAATCTTCAGCGCTTGTTCTCGTGGGGGACTTCAACTTCCCTGACATATCCTGGAAGCACAACACGGCCCTGAGAAAGCAGTCTAGGAGGTTTCTGGAGAGCGTGGAAGATAGCTTCCTGACGCAGCTGGTTAGTGAGCCTACCAGGGGTGGCGCCCCGCTAGACCTTCTCTTCACAAACAGAGAAGGACTGGTGGAGGATGTGATTGTCGGGAGCTGTCTTTGGCAGAGTGACCACGAAATGGTGGAGTTCTCTATTCTTGGCGAGGCCAGGAAGGGGACCAGTAAAACCGCCGTATTAGACTTCCAGAGGGCTGACTTTGAGCTGCTCAGGACACTGATTGGTAGAGTCCCCTGGGAGGCGGTTCTGAAGGGCAGAGGGGTCCAGGAAGGCTGGGCGCTCTTCAAGAGGCAAATCCTAATGGCGCAGGAGTGGTCTGTCCCCACGTGCCCAAAGACGAGCTGGCAGGGAAGAAGACCAGCCTGGCTGAACAGAGAATTGTGGCTTGATCTTAGGAGAAAAAAGAGGGTTTATAATCTTTGGAAAAGAGGGCAGGCCACTAGGGAGGACTATAAGGATGTTGCGAGGCTGTGCAGGGACAAAATTAGGAAGGCCAAAGCTTATCTGGAGCTCAATCTGGCTACTGCTGTTAAAGATAAAAAAAAATGTTTTTATAAACACATCAACACAAAAAGGAGGACTAAGGAGAATCTCCATCCTTTACTGGATGTGGGGAGAAACTTAGTTACAAAAGATGAGGAAAAGGCAGAGGTGCTTAATGCCTTCTTTGCCTCAGTCTTTAGCGGCAATACCGGTTGTTCTCTGGATACCCAGTACCCTGAGCTGGTGGAAGGGGATGGGGAGCAGGATGTGGCCCTCACTATGTGCGAAGAACTGTTTGGTGACCTGCTACGGCACTTGGATGTGCACAAGTCGATGGGGCCGGATGGGATCCACCCGAGGGTACTGAGAGAACTGGCAGAGGAGCTGGCCAAGCCACTGTCCATCATTTATCAAGTCCTGGCTATCGAGGGAGGTCCCAGTTGACTGGCAGCTAGCAAACGTGACGCCCATCTACAAGAAGGGCCGGAGGGCAGACCCGGGAAACTACAGGCCTGTCAGTTTGACCTCAGTGCCAGGGAAGCTCATGGAGCAGATCCTCCTGAGAGTCATCATGCGGCACTTGAAGGGCAAGCAGGCGATCAGGCCCAGTCAGCATGGGTTTATGAAAGGCAGGTCCTGCTTGACGAACCTGATCTCTTTCTGTGACAAAGTGACGCGCTGGGTGGATGAGGGAAAGGCTGTGGATGTGGTCTACCTTGACTTCAGCAAGGCTTTTGACACTGTTTCCCACAGCCTTCTCCTCAAGAAACTGGCTGCTCTTGCCTTGGATGGCGCACGCTTCGTTGGGTTAGAAACCGGCTGGATAGCCGGGCCCAAAGAGTCGTGGTGAATGGAGTCAAATCCAGTTGGAGGCTGGCCACTAGTGGCGTTCCCCAGGGCTCAGTGCTGGGGCCGGTCCTCTTTAATATCTTCATCGATGATCTGGACGAGGGCATTGAGTGCACCCTCAGTAAGTCTGCAGATGACACCAAGCTAGGTGCGTGTGTCGATCTGCTTGAGGGTAGGAAGGCTCTGCAGGAGGATCTGGATAGGCTGCACCGATGGGATGAGGTCAGCTCCATGAAGTTTAACAAGGCCAAGTGCCGGGTCCTGCACCTGGGATGCAATAACCCCAAGCAGAGCTACAGGCTGGGAGATGAGTGGTTGGAGAGCTGCCATGCAGAGAAGGACCTGGGAGTGATGGTTGATAGTCGGCTGAATATGAGCCAGCAGTGTGCTCAGGTGGCCAAGAAGGCCAAAACCATCCTGGCTTGCATAAGAAGCAGTGTGGCCAGCTGGTCTAGGGAGGTGATCGTCCCCCTGTAATTGGCTCTGGTGAGGCCGCACCTCGAGTACTGTGTTCAGTTTTGGGCCCCTCACTACAAGAAGGACATGGAGGTGCTAGAGCGAGTCCAGAGAAGGGCGACGAAGCTGGTGAGGGGTCTGGAGAACAAGTCCTACGAGGAGTGGCTGAGGGAGCTGGGCTTGTTCAGCCTGGAGAAGAGGAGGCTCAGGGGCGACCTTATTGCTCTCTACAGATACCTTAAAGGAGGCTGTAGAGAGGTGGGGGTTGGTCTGTTCTCCCATGTGGCTGGTGACAGGACAAGGGGGAATAGGCTTAAGTTGTGCCAGGGGAGTTTTAGGTTGGATCTTAGGAAGAACTTCTTCACTGTTGTTAGGCATTGGAACAGGCTGCCCAGGGAAGTGGTGGAGTCACCATCCCTGGAAGTCTTTAAAAGACATTTAGATGTAGAGCTTAGGGATATGGTTTAGTGGACGACTAGTTAGTGTTAGGTCAGAGGTTGGACTCGATGATCTTGGAGGTCTCTTCCAACCTAGAAATTCTGTGATATTTACATCTAACAGACTTACAGCCATTTTACTTTTCTGTTAATTCAAGTTCATTTAGAGACACAGAAGAAGGCATACTTCTACTAAAAAATCATGTAATTCACATATTTGTAACGAGTGGAACTATGGGAGATCATTTGAGAGCAATGAAATGCTTTATGATGCCTAACCGAATATGTAATCAAATTTAGCACTGGACTTATTTAAATAACAATACTACTCTTTTAACAATATGCCTATTACACATTGGGTTGTACCCACTGCCTGCAATAAATGTACCTTCAAATCATTCATGTCATTTGAACATTCCCTTAGCATAAACATGATGGTAATATGGAACCTTTCTGCAGCTTCAGTGTGTGACTGACTTCTACCATGCCAAGAACATACACCTTGCTATGCTTTCTCACTCAGTTCTTTTTGCTTCAGAAGCAATGACCCATGCAGAACTCGGACATATCTTGCTTTGGTATTTGGTTCACATTTCTCCTACTAAGAAATAAACTTTTGAAAACATAATTCTTCCCTATCAATGATCTGGCTGAATAAACTATCCTTATTCAGCAATGTGATTAATGAAGCGGTTTAATTATAAGCACTTTTTAAAAATTATTTTTAATTTTTACACTTCAGTTGATTCTTAAATGCTTTGATGAAGTGGGTCCTCAAGACTTTGTCCATCGTAAAGCAATGTGAGGAAGGTTGACAAGTCAGAAGCTTTTCTAAGCAAAGTAGGACAGCAATTCTGTGGGCTTCCATAATCTTCTGGGAATATACAACAGAGTAGGACATTATGGAAAGGTCATGAAGAAAACATGCCAGGTAGATTCATACCATGTCTTTCTGTGAATGATTGTATATGGTCAACTGTATCTGTTATATAGAAGATTGTTTTGTAAATTAGCAGTTTTCCTAAAGCAATAAACTTCAGTGCAATTAATAGAAGGTGATATGTTCTTGGCATTTCTTCATAAAGGAAGGAGAACCAAAATATTAACAGTGGACATATTTTACCTATTATAGTATGACAAGCAAGCTAGCTGTTGGCTAAATATCAGATCTTGAGTATAACTGTCTGTGTTGATAACTGCAGAATAATGTCCAAGCACTGGAAGTCAGGTAAGAAAACAAATGTGGGTGGCATACTTCATAAGAAAAAAAATATTTGCCTGTTTGAAGCAAACCAGGACTCCAGGGGTAGCATTTTATTGTGTGTTGTGTAATCTGTGAAACTGTACACTCTTTGCACATAAAATGCTTTGGTTTGAGAGAGAGTACTGCTTACAGCAGTATTGCAATTGTAAAAAATTGTAAACTCCCTCACAAAAAAAATTGTAAACTCCCTTTCTAAATGACAGACTGATTCAGAAATGAAAACCTTTTTGTAACTGCTGTAAAAATGCCAGATGAAAACTAAATCCAGCCCTACCTTATTCCGGACAAACTCCCACTGACATCTCGGGAAGTTTAGTCTGGATAATTACTGCTGAAAATAGCTCATTATTATTATTCATCTTCCTCAGCATAAAATACATCTCATCCAAGCCGAGAGAATTCCAGGTCAGCAGAATTCTATTTCCAACCAATCATTTTATATCCCTGTGTGAATTTTATTTCACATGCTGCCTCTGCAGGAATGGGTCCCAGGGGTGATTATTGCTCTTGAAATTACATGGTCTTTTTATTGTTCAGAAATGTTTATGGTATGTGAGACTGGAAGTTTTAACTCAAACAATTTCACTAACCTAACTGTATTGCATGATATTGGTGCCTCTTGTAATAATCTTCTCTTGCATTACATTCTGCAATATGTTCCTTCAAATAGTCTCATATTCAGAAAGAGGATCACATATTACTTCCTCAGAAAACTGTCTTTATAATATCATATGACAAAACCAGAAATTATAATCTCCTTGCCTATCTTCTTTTCTGAATCACTCTGAATAAATCTGCTCCAATACCTGTTATTCAGACCTCACACTCTATGTTCTTGTATTCAGAATATGTCCAAATCTCACAAATGCCTTCTAAATAACATCTCTATGACTTGGCCTTTTCCAATTATCCATGAAGAGACAGGGTTTTGTCAATTGTACCTGCAGTTACTACAGCACTGTTCTTCCTTAGGGGCATCTGCTTGAAACTGACTTTTACCAGGTTACAAATGTTTCACAATGGATGAAACGCAGGAAGTTTTGCAAACTTTTATCATATATTTTTTTTTTAATAAAATTATAGTAGAGTTGTCTTTGGAAAAATATCTTAAAAGGACTGCATAGGAGAGATGGAACTGCTAGTCTGGTTGGACAGGAAGCTGCTCAGGTTCCTGAAATGTGCTGCTTGCTTTAATTCATGGAGACTAATTTGGGACAGGAAGTGCTACACACAGGCAGGATTCCTAAACGCATGATTTTTGAATGGTTTCCTTGTTATTTTGTGTGGTATTCTGATTATACTGTGTGGCTGAATTGCTTCATAGATTTTATTAAAGATGACACTTGATATATATTACCTTCTAGTGTACACTGTGATCTACAAAAAATGAAGATGATGCCATACATTAATTTTGGTACTAAAAACTTTACCTCAGGACCAATGATATTTAGCCACCAGACAATACACAGCTATGAAAAAATATAGAGTTTCTCTCTATCCTCCACATGTTACTAAATTTGCAGTAAGTTAACATGCTAAATAAATTATATATCACATATTATACTGTGCATAAAGGACATATCATCATTTGTGAATTACCTTGTATTTTGGAATAGTTTTTAAAAGCTCTTTAACTGGGACATCTGTGCCAACTACTCCCAGGAGAATCCCTTTGGATCTCTGAAAAGAACAATAAAACATGCACTTAGAACCATGCTAATAATGAACATTACCACCACTAATTTCACATTGCAGCTACTCTGCAGAAGCGAACAGATACTGAACAGATTATCTGAAACATGGGAACAGCAGAGACTGGTGCGGGTAATCTGATCAAACAGTCATTTAATCAATAATAGTGCTCCTTTCTACTTCATCTGCAGTTCAAATAAAAAAGGCATGCAAATTTTCAATGGTTTTTCAGTCCCTCAACAGAAAATTTCTTCATGCAAAATAGTTTCTAAAGAAAAAAAAAAAAACAAGAAAAAAAAATGTTAAAAATGTGTTATTCCCTTCACTCCCAATTTATCCTGTCAGTTGGTAGATAAAAGAACAATATTAAGCATTAAGGGGAAAGTACATATAATTTTCTTAAATAACATATCAAACTAAAAAAGTAAACATATATAGATAACATAGACACATGAGTAATTAAATTCTGGATCTACACAATAGAAGCATAACAGTGCAAAAAAAGAAAAAAGATATAGATTATTTGCTGTAAGAAGATAATGTGGAAGAAAAGACACTAAGACCCAGCATCATCTGAGATTTTCTCTTAGACATATGGTTTCATTATTTTATTACAGTTTCTTGTCTATAAGTATTTGTGATTACTTGTGCACATGTTAATACTAACAAAGGGATAATAATTGCAGACAGAAGAAGAAGAAAATAATACAGTTTATTAGAGCCGGGTAAAACCTTGTTAGGTCCCCCAAATCAACTTCCATGCAGTCACTCTATTATCACATGACAGAAACAATCCGAGTACTTACAGTTTCATTTTGCTTACTAAATACCGGCATGGCGACAGTCGTCATCAACACCAATCCCTGATCATCAGCAAGCTATATTTGAAAAAGAAATATTATCTCTAAGAACTAAGGAATAATTACATGTGATTGAATTTTTCAATTACATTTTCTTCATTTTAAATGACATAAGGCAATTTATCTAAATGATATTTATGTATTTAGAATTGCAGTCAGTCCAGCCCCACCATGCCTCATCTCATTGATACCAGCTCTGTCCACCCCATCAGCTCTATGATCAGGAAAGATGTCTCATCTTCATTCTTATTGGATTTTCCCATGAGGGATACGAAGGGGCTGAAATGTGGATTGTCGAAGCAGCATGTGCAGTAGCAAAGCAGCTGGAGCTCTGTTCCACATCTTTCCCAGTGTCAGCTCTGCAAAAATTGCCTCAGGTTGTTTTCTCCCAGCAAGAGGTCATGAGTTGCATGCACTTTCCTTCTGGTCCAGACAGATCTCATCAGCTAACATGGCAGCAGAAAGGATGACAGCCAGTGAGGATCCCAGGAGCATTTGTGCTCCGTCCAGTTTCAGTTTGCTGGACTAAGTGGTGGCATGAAGCATTAGTTGATGGTACACATCAGGTTTCAATGTATTTCTTCAATTTAGGGAGGAAACAGATCTCCTGACCTTGGTTCCGTTCAAGAGAAACAGGCAGAATGCTTATCACTGGCTACAAGAGAGTGACATTGCTCAGACTATTCTGTCTTCATGCCCTCTGGCCAGATCATATCCTTGCCCTAAGGCAATGGTTAGCTGTGATGCTCAAGGAAGGACAAGCACAGCTCTGTGTACTTGTAGATCCTCATCTCTACATATGAAAGGTAACTCACACAGGAAGCTCAGATTTAGCGTTAAATACTTTCTGCCCCTATAGTTTGGGAAGATATAACATTGTAGAGGCTTATCCTGCATTTAAAACTATGTCATATCCTGCCATATCTATGCCATATCCATATCCAACTGGAGATTCATAAGCATAATTTAGTTCTAAGTTGCATCTGTGTTTAGCCAAATGCACAAGGCAAGAGAGACAATCTTATTGAGGAACTTTGTAGGTGAGGGGCAAGCCCAATTGCAACAGTGATATTCTCTTACTGCTCCTCCATCAGAATCACATCATCTGTACTCAAGCAGCATTTATAAGACTTTCATTTTTGAGAATTGGTGTAACTTTGATTTTTTTTTTCTAACAATTTTATGTTATTTTTTAATGAAGCAACAGCTATCAACTGTCCAAATTTTCAAAACACGAAAACCATACGTTATGACCAAGATATTTCTGAAGTATGTTTCACATTAATAAAAGAGACAAGTAAAATCTAGAACATTACAGCAGCCCCCAGTCTCTGAAACCAGAGGAGGGTTTCAGTTTCTCAAACAATTATGTTTCCAGAAGCATGGCACTGTCTCATGGTGGGGAGGAATGTTTGCAGACATCAGACAAACACAAATGGGTTTTAGGATCAAGAAGGTTTGTATCTGATAAGGAATCAATAGGAACATGAGGTGGAACAAGCTCAGGACCATACTTTTTTTTTACCTTTTTATTATAATTTGTTTAGCTTTCATTTTAATAAGTATAGACATTTCTAGTCTCCCTATGATCCTTGATCTGTTAAACAATAGTAAGTTATTAAAAAACAAGCACACAGAAAAACAACCCAACAAAACATTGAGAGTCCAGGGGTTGCACCAAAAGCAGCTGAACTAGGTTAAGAATTTACTCTCTTTGGCCAGAGTCATATATTCAAGCACACTGACGTGATTTGTATGGAGAGGAGCCTTCTGCGATACGATGTGCAATAGTCCTGAACACATGTACACCAGGAAGTGAAAAAGCATTCTGCTGATTATGGGGTGACATCTTGGAGCATTTAGAGATTTTATATGATTGCCCAGGGTTGTTCATCTCTGACATTATATATTTGTCATGTATCATTATGGTATTATTTTACAACGGGCCCACTCATTCTCAAGAGATTACTATAAACAATTTATCAGATAGGATTCCAGCCAAGGGACTTGTCAGTAAAGTTTATGGTATTTGAAATTCTTTAAAGTGGGAAAAAGAACAGTCTGGAGTTCCTGGAAAATTCAAAGAGAATAGATCATTAACTCTCAAAAGTAACTATGAAAGCATGCAGAGAATGATTGCCCCATAAGTATGATATCTGCAAGTGTCTGTAAGGGTTGGCTAATGTCAACCTAATTTTTGTAGAAATAGAGTCTTATTTTTTTGGTAGGCTGTTTATGCCTTTTTTTTTTTTTTTTTTTTTTTTTTTTTTTTTTTTTTGAGGTAGGAGAGGAAGGAGATTGGTAGATGAGCAGGATGTTGGCCACTTCCTTAAGTGAAATCAGCAAATAACTGGGTGATAGATTACATGTATTTGGGATATTTCACCAAGTTACCAACTTATGCTCCAGTATTTGCTTCACAAAAATTATTAGATTTTGAGGAGCTATCTCCTGGGGAGGAAGACAAATTTATTCCCTGGGCAATGACATTTTGGTATAAATACTTTGAAATAGTAGAATGGTAGCCACTGGGTATTTCTGCTTAGACAATTTATGCTAGAATCAGTGAATGAAGCCATGATCTAGGAATTCTGCATTGTCACTTTTTAAGTCTGACAATTTCTTACATATAACAAAACTTTCTGATAGCTTATACAAGTATTTGAAAAATGTAATAATTTTGAGAAAATAAATAAATAAATAAATAAAACCAGAAGGATTCTCTAATCACTAAAAAAAATAATCTTATATTCCTTACATTCAGAATGAGCATGCATCACTGATATTTCAGTACTAGCTAGATTATTATTATCTGTATCACCAGCAAATACTTAATAGAAACTAATGTTTAAAGAAAAATGTTAAATACCAAATTTAGAAAACCATAAGATATAAACAAAGTTTCTGAATGACTGTAGTTATTTCAGAAGTCCATATTATTGTGCAATAAATAGTAAGAGTAATAAATTCTCTGGTTACTCTTTTATTATTCTCCAAAAAAGAATATGTAGGTAATCCTTATGATTCCCAATTTTATCTACCGGACATCACAGTCATAGGCTCAAAAAATAATTATATAGGCATGTAAGAAAGAAAATACTGAAGAAAAAAATACTGAAGAAAAAAACATTTCTTACAGGAAACCTCTTGAAACACGACTTTCTTTTTCTTCCGTACGCACAATATGCATGCTTCTAAGCATTTAGCAAATAACTCATTTATACATAACAGGGTTGTGTTTTTTTAGTGTTGCTGAAAAATATGCAGAATGATACTAATCTCAATATAATGCAGTAACATCACCAGATGGGTGTTTACACATACAGTGGAGGGCTCTTGGGAATGACTGAAACCTTAAGGAACACAAATTTAATCTCAAACTCTAAACAGGCTATACCTTATCCAATTTTGTTCCTCTGGTCTCTTAGGAGAAACCTACTAACAGTTACAGCCATTTTTATAAAGACATGCTTTATTTAGCATAATTATTCCTCCCTCTGAGATTCAGAATGGTTTAAAGCTACATGCTAAGCTTACTGGGTTCATCTTTACTAACCCCCACATATTCTGGGGGATGGCAAGGTTCATAGGAAACAGAGTAAGGTTTGACAAAATCATACTCACACAATATTATGTTAGTTATGATAGTCAGACTTGGGAATCTAATTTCCTTTAATATTCCTTTCCTAATATTCCTGAAAATATTAGAAAGCTATTAAATGCTGTCATCTTTTTTAGGAATGTTGGAAAAATATTGCCATAAAGTTATCACTGAAAAATAGTTTAATAGTTTTAAGCCAATTATAGCGTCTGTGCACTAACTTAGAATTTAGTTCTATTTAAATATAATTACCTAGGCAAGCCTGTCAAGGTTCCTTTAAATTTGCAAAGAATATATTTGCTGTTTTCAGAAGTGGGTGTAAATTCTAGTTTCTTCAAATTCTTGGTTTTGAATTAAAGAATACAGAAGAGAACCAGCACAGAAAAAAATAAAATAAAATAAAAAATTTGAGACGTAGCATTGTCAGATGCTTCAGTCAGCACTGAACTCATGATTAGCCAAATGAAACAAGGAGGAAAATGTAAGGATCCACAAATTTTGGGCAGAAAAATAATAATGGGAAAAACATGTAATAAATAACTTTTGTTTTTTAAACTGTATTACAGGTATTAGACTCACTTAGAGAATAAGTAGAATAATTTCTTAAGAATGGCAAATGGGAACATACCTGTGTTATTTATTTATATTTACAGAATTATTTATATTTACATATACTTTCCTATATTTATTTAGATATATATTTATGAAAACACTAACTATCCTAGACCTCTGACATTAGCAAGTCTCCACTTGAAGAGTGGAATCATCTTCATGCTAAGTACAGAATTCTGAGTATGTGCAGTACAGCACTAAGTGCTTATCCTTTCAACTTCCCCTTACACTGTTAGGTATTTATTTCCTGTGGAATAGCTACAAGTTTCTGCTTTTTCCAAAGGCCAAACTAGTATGTTTACATGAAACTTACACATTTCAAAACAACCCCTCAAGTTTACCTTATCACAGGAATTCCATGGGCATTTTCTTCAGGAAACTGTTTATCCCTCAGAAAATCGGAATGTTTTCTTTTGCAAGCATGGAACATAATATGAAGAAATATGCTTCCCCATAAAACACAGTGGTCACCATTTAGAAAACAAAAGAAACAACTTTAAGTTCAGTTCAGTTCAGTTTCTTCTGCCCCAAATGCAACTAGGTCATTCTCTGGGTGATTCTTTTTCATTAAGGACTGCAGCTGATGAGAGAGCAGTAATCAACATTTCCCACGACAAATTGGGAAGATACCTTTATGAGGGGACACGGACTGCCTATGCCAGTTCACATGTGAAGGCATCTTCCTTCATTAACAAATACAATCAGTCTGTGCTTATACATTTTCTAACAGTCAGACTAGATCTATTGACCAATATTGGTCTGGCTGTTTCCTCTGACAGGATAGGACCAGTGCATCTGTCTGGGA